GCTTTGGTGACATAACAATGAGGGAATTAATTCTTTGACAATGAATATCCAGCTGAAGAAGTACAAATTGAAGCCAGATGGGTGGCAGTACTGAACCAGTAGAGATATGAGAGTGAACTTTCTCACCCCCGAATTACTTGGGCAATAACAAGTCAATTGGGAAAAATGGAGTGGGAAAATTGAAATTTTCAATGTTGAGAAGATTTGACCAACAGGATGAATATCTTGATCGTGAGTGTTGAGAGGCTTACATACGACACGTGCATATTTAAATCTCACTAGTACCTAATCTTGCCTCACTTCTAAATAATTTCCTATTCTCCCATATGGTGGAGAGAAACTAGTTGAAAACAATTCTCAACATGTAAGTCAGTTCAGGCACTCAGTAGTTCCATTTTGCCACTTGCTCATCTTGACACTTGGACAGCAATTCCCAACATCTCAGGGTACACGCCATTGGCACCAACTGCCTGCATCCATGCCCACTCCCACCACCTCAACCCCCTGTTGACAGAGGTGGGCATTGTACATGCATGACCCTCACCACATCATCATGGCACATTTCTGACTACAATTCTCCATTTCAATGCTGCACCTTAGAATGCAACAATTCTGCTGTCAGGCCTCTTAGCACAGAGACAAGCACTCAACTCATGCTTTACAACAGAGGTGTATATTCAAGGCTTTTGGCTTGCATACTTGGTGTTCACTCACTTCATGCCTACTTTCATGTTCACAACATCTCTGTCTTGCCTGCTGTTTAGCAAAGGCACAAAGTCAGCCAGCTTGCCATGTTTGTCAGCGGTGATCAGTTAAGAGCGTGAAAGTGTTGCTGTACAACACCGTTTTACGTCACTGTCACTCCTGCAACATGTGACAGCAGCTCACACGGCAAACTCCTTGCATATGCTTTGGCAAAATGGCAACATGTCAAAGTCTAAGAGGAAGAGGACTTGGTCAAGTCAAAGTGGACTGCCGTCAGTCCCTGCCAGTCAGTTCATGGACAGTGTCCGATCTTTTTTCTTTTGTTTACGAGATGAGAACATCATTGGTATTTAATTGCCAATCCCTAATTGCCCAGAGGGCAGTTAAGAATCAACCACATTGCTGTGGGTCTGGAGTCACATGTAGGCCAGACCTGGTAGGGATGGCACTTTCCTTCCCTAAAGGACATTAGTGAACCAAATGGGTTTTTCCAACAATCAGCAATGGATTCATGAATACTATTGGACTTTTAATTCCAGATTTTTATTGAATTCAAATTCCACTATCCACCATGGTGGGATTCAAACCCAGGTCTCCAGAATATTACCTGTGTCTCTGGATTAACAGTCCAATGATAGTATCACTAGGCGATCACCTTCCCATTTCAGTCTTGGGGCTTGGACACAGTCAGTTGGCTGCTTGGGATGGCCAGGGTCAGGGATCCCGTATTACTGCAGTCTGGGAAGTCACCCTATCGTTCAAATCCAACCAGTCGGAGGACTCACCAGTATGTCAGTTGGGGAAGCGTACAGAGATCAGTCATGGACCTGGTCACTCATCAGTCAGGGTTTCCAGTCCTTCCAATTTAGTCAGGGGTGTGTGCCGCTGTCAATTTTGAGGGTCTGGTCACTGAAAGTCAATGGGCGTTATCGGAGCCATTGCTATGATAGAGAGGTTGGGGAAGTCAATTGGAGGCAGAATGCTGGGATGTAGAGGGGATGATAATTGTGAAGGGGACATGTATCAACACATAAGGGTGGGAAACGATAGTGCACTGAATAACATAGGTTGCTGCAGGAAGAGATGTTATCAATAGAATCTCCTGATGGACAGATAGCGCATCATGATGGTTGTCATGGCGGAGTTGTAGAGCTGGGGCTCAGGGAGTAATATTAGGAGATGAAAATGTAAATGACGTAGTTGGTGTAAAGCCTGGGAGCTCAGAATTGATGGAGTTGACAGGAAATGCAAGTAAGAAAGGAACATGACTGTTTCGGGGTGGGGGGGTCCTAAACTACGAACTTGTGACTTATTCTGTGAAGTATGAGTAGTGTTGCCTTCAATCCTTGTCCAAATATCAAATGTACAATGGAAATGGAAAATGGCTGTGACTACCTCAGGAGTGGGTGGAGTAAGTGGTTTACTTCCATCTGAGCACATGGGCTCTAGTGTGAGTGATGTGGCTCTTCAAGGGGCAATTGTATTAATCAGGCACTTACACAGTGCAGGATGAAGACATCTGTAATCATTGCACCCTGTATGTGAAATATAAGCAGTGTCCAAACGTGTGGGATACAATTCCTGATCACAAGCAATCAAGACCATTTACAGATCGATGATAACCATCTCTGTGGTAATCACAGTGGATCTTCAAAATGTCACCGGTGGATAAAAATTGACATAAAGTATCCAAGGTCTCAAACCTGCTCAGGGGTTTGCTGTCAATTTCCTTTCACTCTAAGCTGCTAAGCACTTGTCAACATAACTGTATAAGCAGTGATGCCTTTCTTGCACAATGTGAAGTATGAGGCAAAGTGTCAGGATTGCTATCACTCCTACAATCTCCCACTACATTTGCATGGCATAGCTTGTGCTGCATACATTAGATTACGATCCATTTATTTATCAAAGGTCCATGTAAAGGAAAGCATGGCCCTCCCTTTCACAGTTCTTTTTTATTCATGGAATGTAGACATCACTGGCTGGATCAACATTTATGGCTCATTCCTAGCAGCCCTTGAGAAGGTGGGAATGAGCGGCCCTTCTTGATCTGCTGCAATCCATTTGCAGTAAGCAGACCCCTAATAGCATTAGGGAGGAGGTTTCAACATTTTGGTCAATGATACTGAAGGACCAGTGATATATTTGCAAGTCAGTGTTTTAGCAGTTTGGAGGAGGACCTGTCAATGGTAGTGTTCCCAATAAGCAAAACCTCGAGCCAATATTCTTTCCATTACAAACAACTCCACCTCATTAAAATGAAGCAGTATCCATCACTCTTTAGCACATCTCCAGCTGAAACCCTCATTTTTTTTTCTTACCCATCAACTCCACTGTTCCAATTCTCTTCTGGCTGGTCTTCCATCTTCCATCTTAAGCTGGTCCAAAACTTGATTCACTTCATCAAGTCCCACTCACCCATTAGCTCACTGAAGAACATTGGTTCTCGGTCTGTCAATGCCTTGATTTCAAAATTCTTCTGCTTCTTTTCAATTCCCTGCATGGCATTACCCTTTCCTGTCTCTGTGAATTCATCTAGTCCTACGGCTCTCCAAATCTCTCTCTCCCACTAACTCTGACCTCTGCATACCCCTTGCTATTTTGTCCACCACTGGTGACTGGATTGAGGTTGGTTTTGACCAAAGTTCTAGGATCCCTTCCATGTTTCTCTCCATCTCTCTTTTTGTTTTAAGGTGCTGTTTCAACCCAATTTTTAAGTGCTTGTCTTAATGCGTTCTTCTCGCATCGAGTTTAATTTTGTCCAATTATGCTTCTATGGCATATCTGGACAATTTAACTTGCTGAAATGCTATATGAAAATGTAAGCAGTTGTTGTCATGTCAATTTACACCATTTTGAAAAATAAATTCCCTTCTTTTTGTCCTAATATTGTGACAGATTAAGAACTCAATGTAGGGTCAAAATGCCCCAGAGCATTCAATGGCTGTACTTCTGTTCTTTAGCTTTTGTCTTCTTTGTTGATTTTTCTGTCATTCCACCTCTTATTTCTTAGCTTTCATCTTTTTTACCTTCATGGGGAATTGTGACTGTGACTAATTTTGATGTGGATGATGGTGTAAAATGGATGAAATTGCCCCTGATTTTCATATCTTACTGAATTCAGTCAAGAGAGATATTTAACAGAGCCAATATTGCAGCTTACACTGTTGCCACAAGTAAAACATTCACTGATTGAGACTTCTTTTTACTATCTTTCTCACATTCATTTTGCTCTGAGCTTCTTTGCATCTCCATTCTGTTTGTCTCATTTTCTCCTCTGTCTTTTGACCTCAAAATTTTTGTGTTTGAACTGTGTTCTGCTTTTACTAGAAATATTACTTTAAGGTGCTATTGAACATTGCAACAAGTGGCAGATGTTTAAACATGAGAAGGGGCACATGATAATAAACAAAAGTATTTTCTACGAACTTGGCATATCAACTGTGAATGTTAATTCAGCCATCACTTGTCACAGCCATTACCTTTTCATAGCAACCAGACATTCCACATCAACTGGAAATGTCATTCTCTATTGAAAACATCAACAGCAATACAGTGGAAAATTGATCGTGATGATGGCTTTGTCCATCTAACCTTCTTTAAAGTAATTCTGAAAATGACATTCACTCACTTCTGAATGCCTTTCACCTTTGCTCATGTTCCTTTTGACACTTTGGTCAAGGCAATTACAACATTTAAGAGGCATCTGGATGGGTATATGAATAGGAAGAGTTTAGAGGGATATGGGCCAAATGCTGGCAAATAGGACTAGATATATCTAGGATATCTGGTCGGCATAGACAAGTTAGACTGAACGGTCTGTTTCCATGCTGTATATCTCTATGCCCCTAAATTGTTATGTCTGTAGCTTTCTTTGAACAGCAGGCTACATGTCATGCATGCATTTGAATAAAGACTTTAGTAGGAGTGCAGAAATAATAATAAGGGAAATTGAAAGGTCGCTTTATAGCTGTCAGTGCTTCATGCTGCGCTGGGTGCCATTTACTAAATGCAAAGCTTTGAGTAAAGAGCTTCATGCAGTATACATACGAACTGTGTTATCACCTATTTAAATTCCTTGCAATTCCCTAAATCTGTCAGTGGAATTATTTTAAGAATTTATTGTGCTGCATCACAGCTAACACAGGATACAGATCAGTTAATGTTCTATACATATATGGTGCAATTAACAACTGGCCACTTGCTTCCAACACCTAAAGTCATACAGACATTTCAATTTGTAAAAATGCTAAGATAATCAATTACTATGAGAAATCAATTAAAGGTGAACTCACTGAAAAACGTCACGAGAAAAATCCCGTCATTTCCTAGGCTGAGCTGATTGCCTTCATCATAGCCATCTCCTAACGTGAATTCATCATCCTATTTTCATCAAAAAGACGAGCAGATTATTGTGTGTTACTTCTTTCACAGATATCATTTTGCACTCATAATCTGCCTACCTATCTGTTAATTTACTGCACAGCGTTACCATGTGAACAAATACTCTAAGCCTGTTTCTCTCCCTCCTACATGTTTTTTAATCTGCAATTGAGAATTGTCCTGACATGAGGATTCCATGTGAGCTAGCAGATAAGTACAATTGTGAATTGTGATATAGCTTGTTAAAAAAAATACTCACATATTCGCAAAAGATAATTGGCTTTCCATTAAACTCCATCACCTAGAAGTCACCTTGCCAAGTTTCACATCATCTTTCTTCACAAAAGAAGAACAGCCATATTGGGTCGAACTAAGCTACATTACAATAGGGGGTGGACAGCAGAAAGACCAATAAAAATGGACCCCACCCACAAATTCATTAGCTAAGTCTCACAGCATTCATTTCTAACCTCAAGGAAAAAAACCCCTGTCATTAATCTACCCTGCAAGGCACATCTGTTCGCTGCTAAGAATACACCATCACTGAAGGGAGCAAGTTATTTCAGGCACGGTAAAGTAAAAGCACGAACACTCCTTGCAGTTGGACTCAATCCATGTCTGTAGTGTTGAAGCTTTCTAACATGTTGCGCTGTTACTTGATCCTGAAGCATCACGTGAAACTGACTTGGTTACAATTGCTGAATTCTTGGCATCCTTGTTTTATACCAGTCCAACTTGACAGGAAAAGGATGTTGATGGCAAAACAGGACAGAATTAAATCAAACACAGATTTTTGCTTAAATTTGAAGAGAATACATGGCCACTCATTTATACCTATAACTCATTTTCTATAAAGTTTTCTATATTTCAAATGCATTGGTAGCTTAGAAGCTTATATAGAACTTAGGTGCATCCAGAGTAGTATGAAAGCTGATGGCATGGAAATAAATTGCTGCTGTATAGGCAGAGAATCTGTTCACATTCATTTCAAGGTTTATACTGGCTGGCTTTCACTAGTTAATAATGATACGCTGTACATTGGTGACCTATTCAGATCTATCATTGTCATTGACCGATTTAGATGGGTACTGTACACACAGATTCTACAGCTTCAGTTTTTCATGAAATATAAAGAATTGTCTTAGCTAGAGTTTGCAGCAACAGTGCAACTCAAAGAACAGCCATATTGCAGTTTGTCAGTAACTGTTCTAATTTTTGTAGGCTTTGACACTCCAAATGCTAGTCCATGGAGTTTGGATACTCCAGGGAAGAAAACAGCTTTGAGTGGGATGCAGCTTATGTGGGAATTGTAGAGCTGGAAAAATGACACAGCAGACACACGAGTCACGCAGTTCACTTTGGTACTGTTACAGGAAAAGGCATGAGTGGCCATATTTGCAACCACATTCATGTTGTACTTCAGTATTCTTATAACTTGGTGTAAAAAAGAAATGAAAAATTGAAATACTTCTCTAAAAACCCCTTTCAACACTTGAAGCAATCTCCTTGGCTGCAGTAAAAGCTGTCAGGAGATGACCCATGATGGTTGCTGTCATTATTCATTGGATCTTCCACATTTGACATTAAAGTTTCCAAGTCACTGCACAAATCTAGAGTTTTCACTGCTCCGTGACATTGTGCAAACTTTCACTGACAGTTTGCTTAATGCATCTAAAGTATCCAACATGCATCGTTGTTCATCATTAGGCTGGGCTCCCTCTGAGGGGAAGATCCAGCCCCATGAAACTGAGTTAAGAAGCTGGGGCTTCCTCCTTCTCCATTGACAGAGGGGCTTCCACATTATCAACACTGGGAAGAAGAATGAGAGTGAGAATTTGTTTTTGATGTGAAAGGAATGGGAAAGGGAGAAGGGGCTGGTGGAAACAGATGCAGTTTGTCTTGGGCAATTGTGTAGGGAACAGAAACAGAGCAAAAGATATACAAAAAGCCTCCATGACATCCTCTGTAGCATGGTCTTGTCTCTTCCCAGCCCATGAGAGCCACCATTTCTGCTTTTATTGGGGGTACAGTGCACAGACGGACTCTCTTCTGTTGGCAGCTTCCTGTCTGAAATGGTAAGTAACCTTTTTCCTCAAACAGGAACAGATTGTGTGCAGCACCCTTGAGAGTTTTTAGAGAGTATGCTCAATGCTGGAAGATAGCTGGCAGGCAGTTGTGAGATATGAGTCCAAGGCTTGAGGGTAGAAATCCTCATGAGTCTGCAGAGAAAGGGAAGTCAATTAATGTGATGTGGTAGTTATGGGAGTGTAAAAACAAGTTGTGAGGAGGAGCTTTGCAAGTAATAAGGCTTCAGACAGTGAAGGTTTGATCACAGATTATGAGAGCTGCATTGTTCCATTGACAATTCTAGTGTGGTAATTGATTTCAGTTTCTCATTACAGACAGTACTAGGAGCCAGGTTTCTGGTATTGATGTCCTCACTGATGTTTTAACACATGGAATTACTTGCTAGAGGGTCTTCTGTTCATGAGGTGGAGGGTATTTCCCTCCCTCTGTCCACTGGTTGCACCAGCGTCACCAAGACAGCATCAGAGAATTGTTTACAATTGTCACAGCCATTTTGCTGTCCAGAACTCTTTATTTCCTTCTGCACCCAGAGTCAAAATCCCCTCGAAAGGGTGTTTACTGCCTGCACATTAAGATAGAGATGCCCAATATCCAGTGCTATATAGGCATTAAGCCATTGGATAGTATTGATGGTCCTGACTATCCATTACCCCCGTCGGCCATGATTAATTAACGGGTTGTATGAATGTTTGTGCTAGTTGGGACAATGTGCTGCAGTGTGCCACTCAGTACCTATTTTTGGTGTAATTATATTTCTAGGATATACATTATGAGATGAACACGCCTTCAAGTATTGTAATGAGCTGAAGGTCTGATGTTAGCTTCTGACTGATGACTAGAGTCTTTTGGACTTAATGATTCACTGTCTTCAACACAGAAAATGGAAAATGCAGTGGAAAGAAAGGTCCAAGGTAGAATTAATTTTCAGGCAATAGTTAACTCTGCATTGTCTAAGAATGCAACACACTCACGCAATTACCATGCTAAAATCTTCAACCACATAATCAACTTTACTCAACGAAGCTTTTCACATTTCAACATTTCTTCTTTGAAGTTACTTGCACCTGCAAAAAAGACTCCCTCCCTTTTTTCACAGGAATTTCAGATTTGCTTCAAAATATGTAAAGAGAAACATTATGCAGTTCCTAGCAACTGAGCACTTTGAGTGTAAATCATGAGGCCAAGAATTAGTCAATTATTGTGGGCCTGCTTCCAAGATTTTCCACAAATTAAAATTAATATTTTGATAATTATGGGGATCCACCTGAAATCCCTAAAATGATCTGATATATGCACTTGAACTGGAACGAGGAAGGTTGCGAATAGATCTCTAACAAACAATTGGACCTATTGAATCTGGCTGCATATGGTATTGTCTGCCTAGGCTGTTTATGCCCTCAGGAGTTGGAAGATAGCTGCATAGGGATCAATTAGAACTGGAGTTTCTAGTTCCATGGATAATTTGGATTTATTTAAAGCTCATATGAGATTTCTGAATAAACTCAAGAGAAACCTAATTTATGAATGTGATTGATTCGTCAATAGCTCAAATGAGGGACGATTTTGACTGCCAGTTTTTCAATGAATTTTCTGCCTTTTTTATGGTTTTACCAATAGGATCAAAAGTGCATTTCTTAGGTTGTTATATCCTTCAATTGTGAGCTTGGAAAATGAGTGTTAACTGGCTTTCTTATCAAGGGGAAGCCGAGATTATACCTATAGTCACCAAATTGCTATATGCATGTTGACAGATGTCACTTACACCTGGATGGCTTCAGGGTCAGTGGAAGGTCACACCATGCCAGCTTGCAGTCCAGGACTAACCAAATGACATCAAAGAAATGGAGATACCAAACAGACATCCAAATGCAAGCAGGGAAGATGGAACATTACACAACTCCTACATTGGTTTAATGCAAGGCAAACAAACGCAGAAAGACCTTGAAAACATTGGCAGAGATACAGTGGGAGTTTTATTTTGGGCTCTAGAGGAGTATTACTACTTTTCCTGTTAATTTTCTCAACTGCAGTACATACAGATGGAAGCCGTTGATAGTTGGTCATTTGAACAGCTTGAAAGACGTTCTTATTGACACGGGAATAGAGTCGAGTCAAGGCATAAATACCTGCATTATTTCACTCAGTGAATCATTCTATTTCAAGGAAGAACCAGCTCTGGTGTCCTACATCACCAACTGGTTGTCAGAGTACAATGTTCTGGGCTAAAAGGATAAAAGTTGGTCCTTTTTTGAGTAGCCTCTAGCACCAGATCTCTTTAAGAATCATTGGTTCAGATGCTCAGTGCTGATGATCTGATATATGCGCATTCAGATGCTCAGTTAATTCCATCAATTAACATCCAAATTTTGCATTTGAGGTACCGTACCTGGCAAAAATCTTGACTTTAAATCTTTATTTAAGTTGTTAACATCAGTTTCATATGATGACTCTAAAGGGCTACTGGATTATGGAGCTAATAAATCAGCCTGTACATTTTGGATGCTGATTGAGTGTGAAAAATTATTGAGTGAAATACAGTGGTCTAATATTGAAACACCAGAAAATTAGTCAGCCATGATTTGGATTGATCTCTTATAGACATTTTCCACAGCAATGGTGTAGTGGTAATCCTGAACAATCCTGGGTTTGGTTCATACCTTTGCATATGGTGAAATCTGGATTCAGCAAAAATCTGGCCTAATTGCGATGATGTAACAATTGTCATTTAAAAATATCTGGGTCACTTATGTCCTTCAGGGAAGGAAATCCTCCATCCTTACTTCTCCTAGCTTACAAGTGACTCCAGACGCACAGCAAGGTCATTTACTCTTAACTGTCCTCTGGACAACTGGGGCAAATACAAGTTGGCCTAGGCAAAGATAGCAAATGCCAGGAGCAATTTTTACAGAAGGGTCAGACAGTGAACACCCCAGGAACACAGAAACTGAGCCAATATTTCAGAGAGAGCACATGACCCACCAAACACTTCACCTGCTCAATCCTTCAAATACCATCTGTACAATTATTTTTCATGTTGAACGTTCACAGCTGTATATATCCCAAGGAGTTTTACAAAAGGCCCGTAGTGCCTTTAAACATTACCCAAAAGATGAGGGTATAGAACTTGAAAGAACAGGAGTGTTCCACGCTACACAATATTGAAATCACACTAAAATCACAATATTAAAACTACTAGCCACCACTCTACCCAAATTTCCCCCCATAACCCAATGATTTTTCAACCTGGCAAAACCAAATTTCTACTTCCCTACCAATCCCTATCTGCCCCAGTTTCAATTGATCTTTATCCACTCCTGCTAATCCAAAATACCGATATCTTCACTCCTTGACACCACTACCCAGCCTTCCAATTGCTTTCATGTCTGCCTGAAAATCCTTGGTGAACCAAACTCACCTATTTGGGTTCATTCTTCACGGTGGCGGCTTTTGCCTGGGTGTAGTTAACATGGCCATCATTCCTAATGGTGCTGCTGGTGACTTCCAATTGGCTAGCAGCTTTTT